GCAGCTGTCACGGCAGGCAAAGAGTGGTCAGGTCCAGGCAGCTGTCACGGCAGGCAAAGAGTGGTCAGGTCCAGGCAGCTGTCACGGCAGGCAAAGAGTGGTCAGGTCCAGGCAGCTGTCACGGCAGGCAAAGAGTGGTCAGATCCAGGCAGCTGTCACGGCAGGCAAAGAGTGGTCAGGTCCAGGCAAAGACTGGGCAGAGATTATCAAGGGGCAAGGAAAACAGAACATTTAGGGCAATTTCGGGTGCCAATGGGCAAAGCAACAGGGAAGTTTGCATTTAGCTGTAGCTGGCAAGAAGACGCAGCACCATCCATTTTCAGGGCTGATAATTAAACATCTGTTGGGTCAAAGAACATGCCCAGTGGTACTCAAGAAGATTCTGTGAGATCCATTGGAGGCACTAGCAGGGATTCTGGAAGTCCTGGCAGAAGCCCTGATGGTTCTGGAGGTACCACTTGCCTCTCAGTCGTGGTGAAGGGGGAATGTTCATCCCTTGTTGGCTTTATCTCCTGATTTTTTTAAACTCAAGATGGACAAACTTGTTACAAACTTATGGCGCTCTCATCCTTCGACGTTTGTCAGGAACTGAAGTTGTCATGCAATATTTTAGCAGAGGGTGTCAATGGCATGGAGAGGTCCACCTACTCTGTACTTAAGAAAGTGGTCCATACCAAATCCTGGTTTGTGGGGATGACATCAATGGAAATCTTCGTCTATCGATCTTTAGCTACTTTGATGAACAAATCCCAAGGCTGGAAGATGCTTCGTAGAATATTGGTTCTACCAAACGAATAGCCTCAATCCACCTACTGCTGCCCCACCTCAACCCAGCCTTGCTTGGCCGCAAACGTGAAGCCAATGAAGAAAATGTGAGTAGAGCAGGGGTAAGCAAACGTTGGCGGTCCAGCTGTGGTGAAACTACAAATCCCATCATACCTCTGCCTCCAGTAATGACTCATTAGACTTGATGTTCCTCAACAACTGGAGGCCTGAAGATTGGCTACCCCTGGAGTACAGCAAAGAGACCCATAGACTGTCTTCATTTTCTTACACTACACTGGTTGTCAGTTTGCTGGCTGGTTGGTGGGTTGGTTGGTAAGCTGATTGGTTTGATTGATCGACAGGTTGGGTGGTTGGCTGGCTGCTTAATTGGTTGGTGGATGGGTTGGGTGTTTGGCTGTCTGATTGGTTGGTTGACAGGTTGGGTAGTTAGCTGGCTGACTGGTTGATTGGCTGGTTGACAAGTTGGGTGTTTAGCTGCCTGGTTGGTTGGTTGGCTGGCCGGTTGTTTACGGAATCCCTAAGATGTCTCACCTGGGGTGGAAGGAAAAAATAAAAAAATTGCTCGATTTCCCCATAAACACATTCAATGTTAGTGGGGGAATGCCTCCCGCAGCACTATTGTGTTCTGCCAGTGGGAGGTTGAGGGAAGCCTTCCCAGTGGACAGAACACAATGCTTACTACCAGTGGCTATAGCTTATGGTAGTAATCAAATGCAAAAAGATTCAAACTATCGATTGACTTGGGTGCAATCAGCCTGCCCATGCATGGATCAAATCTCGACCGGTCCCTTCTGAACCAGCCGAATTTCAATCCATGTATGGCCAGCTTTATACTACACTGGCTGTAGTTGCTTGGTCATTAGGCTGGCTGGTTGATGGGTTGGTTGGTAGGTTGGTTGGCTAGTTGGCTTGTTGGTTTACAGTTTGAGTGGTTGGCTGGCTGGTTGGTTGGTTGACAGGTTGGTTGGCTGGCTGACTGGCTGGTTAGTTGACAGATTGGGTGGTTGGCTAGCTGGTTGGTTGACAAGTGTCTGGTTGGCTGTTTGGTTGGATGGCTGACAGGTTGGGTGGTTAGCTAGCTGATTGGTTGGTTGACAGGTCGGTTGGTTAGCTTTTGGTTGGATGGCTGACAGGTTGGGTGGTTAGCTGGCTGGTTGGTTGACAGGTCAGTTGGTTAGCTTTTGGTTGGATGGCTGACAGGTTGGGTGGTTAGCTGGGTGGTTAGCTGCCTGGTTGTTTGGTTGACAGGTTGGCTGGTTAGCTTTTGGTTGGATGGCTGACAGGTTGGGTGGTTGGCCGGCTGGTTGGTTAAGCTGGCCATACATGAAACAAAATCCAGCAGGTTCAGCAGGGACCGGACGAGATTCGATCCATGTATGTGCAGGAATGTGTGGTTGGCTAGCTGGTTGGTTGACAAGTGTCTGGTTGGCTGTTTGGTTGGATGGCTGACAGGTTGGGTGGTTAGCTAGCTGATTGGTTGGTTGACAGGTCGGTTGGTTAGCTTTTGGTTGGATGGCTGACAGGTTGGGTGGTTAGCTGGCTGGTTGGTTGACAGGTCAGTTGGTTAGCTTTTGGTTGGATGGCTAACAGGTTGGGTGGTTAGCTGGCTGGTTGGTTGACAGGTCAGTTGGTTAGCTTTTGGTTGGATGGCTGACAGGTTGAGTGGTTAGCTGGCTGGTTGGTTGACAGGTCAGTTGGTTAGCTTTTGGTTGGATGGCTAACAGGTTGGGTGGTTAGCTGGCTGGTTGGTTAGTTGACAGGTCGGTTGGTTAGCTTTTGGTTGGATGGCTGACAGGTTGGGTGGTTGGCTGGCTGGTTGGTTAAGCTGGCCATACATGAAACAAAATCCAGCAGGTTCAGCAGGGACCGGATGAGTTTCGATCCCTGTATGTGCAGGATGATTGATCCATTGATCAACTTGGGTACAACCAGCCTGTTGGATTTTTTCACATTTGATTACTGCTGGTGGCTGTAGCCACTAGAAATAATGATTGTGTTCCGCCAGACAGGAAGGCTCCCCGCTCACCCGTGGTGGAAGGAAAGAAAATCAAGTCATCCATGGGCTGCTTTAGTTGACAGGTTGGGTAATTGGTTGGCTGCTTGGTTGGTTGATTGGTTGGTTGGTTGGTTGGGTGGGCGATCCATTTTTTTTTTAAGTCCGCAAACGTGCAACTATAACGAAAAAACCCGTAAGTGTTCACAAAAAAAGTGCAAGTGCAAAACACCACACGAAAAAGTGCACTTAGGGGTGTGCTGTGTCCTACCCCTAAAGGGGCTTGGACCGCTTACCCTGATCCCCCGGGGCACGAAGCTCCTGACGGGGACAAGGTTCCCAATTGGTCCTCCTGGCCAAAAGGCCTGGTGGACCACCGTTCCCTATGCCCAGCCGAAGCCGGACATCCAGTACTAGGCAAGGGGACTCTCCCGAAGAAGAGTCCCCTGGGGATCAGGGGAGGAAGGAACCGTATGGCCACACATCCTCCCCCTAGACTTCAGGGTAGGCCCGAGGACCCACACCCTCCATCCGTGAAAAACACACACATAAGAGCAAAAAAGTGACAAACGTGGGAAGTGCATAATAAATAAAGAGAAAGAAAAAATAAAAAAGTGGTACCGTGCCGAATTGTGCACAGACCAGGCCCTGAGGCCCGTAGCAAAAATTGCCCTGGACTTAGCCAAAAGGCCTGGTCCTTAGGGCGCTGTGCAAAAAGATGTGTAAAAACAGTGGCCAAGTGTCATTTTCACACCGTGGGGTCCCACACCCAAGTGTTACTAGTGACACCCCTGAGCGCGTCTCCCCAGGGGGCACTGAGTTTGCGGACTTTTTGCGTCCCCAGCCCCTGGCCAGACCAAGGTAGCTTGCTCAAATCAGGAGGTACTGGGTCTTTCCAGCCTTCCCAGAGGAATTACTCCCGAGGCCCCAGAACGAATCATGGCGCTCCCCGGTTTCTGTCCCTTCGGTCCAGTCTTCCGGACCCCCATCATACCAGTGAGGGTACTATCCAACCAACCCCACAAAGACAGAGTGGTCGGAAGCACCCCACTGGACACTGATAAGAACAGATACTACACTTGATCTTAGCCAAAAGGCAAGCTGGGTGGGCGATCCATTGGTTGACTGAAACAATCCTGCAAAATTCCTTTCTCTGGTCGTGTGTGATATATGATCATTCCCAACTGCAGGCCAGTTATTTACAGTCACGGAGAGACATGAAAGCAAAACAAATGGTTTTTAGAGGATGCAAATCTTTGACCTTTCAACAGAGACGAAAAAAAAAAAAAAAAAAGAAATAAAAAAAAAAGAAAGCAATAAAAAGACGTAAGAAGCCTTTCCGGAGCTGTGCAGGCCGGAGTCTGCGGCTGAGCCGACATTGCGCACACGATACAGAAGGGCTCATTGTGAGGACAGGTGTGCGGGAACACTCTCGCATTGTTTGCTCCCAGCGGACAATGTGGGGTCACTGAACTCTCAGATCCGATCAATGTAACTACAGCGGCTGAGAAATTATATTTTGTCATTCCTCCCTGTCTAGAAATCCTGCTCTCTGATCTTCCCCCTCCCTCCACAAATTCTTTCCTACAGCAATAGAAAGCTGAAGTTTAGTCTGGTTCTATTTTTCTTTCCCTGGTCCCCCCCCCGACACACACCCACCCACCCTCATCAGCATGCTAATTACATATTTAAATAATCTTTCCATTTTCATTACAAACCTTATTTTAGAACCCAAAATGTTATCACTGGGTCTCAGTGCTTCTCTATGGCAGTGCAGGCAGATCATGGCTGGTGGGAGGGGCCAGCAGGATGCTGTGATGTTTTCAAGAAGCTATGTACAGCATCCTGCTGGTCCCTCCCACCAGATCAGTACTCCTCTCAAAAGCCTTCAGCCCTGATGCAAGCAGTGGGCTGGCTCTTGGGAGGAGTTATGCAAATGTTACAATGTCCTAATGGGCAGGTGTCAGTTTGGAGGAGTGGGCGTTCCCTAGGCAGGGTGCATTGGCACATGTGACGGGGCCAGGGACAGTCAGGCTGGGGAGGAAAGTGCAAGATGATGCTGGACGTCCAGGAAATGGGGCGGAGCTCTCTCTGGCTGGCTGCACCTTCTAATGCACATTGTGAGAAGCTCCCAGTGTGCAGTGATATCAGAGGAAGCCATTTCAGTCCAGGAGAGGAGCCGATAAACCTGTGCAAGACTGAAGGGGAGGAGCCGATACACCTGTGCAAGACTGAAGGGGAGGAGCCGATACACCTGTGCAAGACTGAAGGAGAGGAGCCGATAAACCTGTGCAAGACTGAAGGGGAGGAGCCGATACACCTGTGCAAGACTGAAGGGGAGGAGCCGATACACCTGTTCAAGACTGAAGGGGAGGAGCTGGAACACCTGTGCAAGACTGAAGGGGAGGAGCCAGTACACCTGTGCAAGACTGAAGGGGAGGAGCCGATAAACCTGTGCAAGACTGAAGGGGAGGAGCTGGTACACCTGTGCAAGACTGAAGGGGAGGAGCCGGTACAACTGTGCAAGACTGAAGGGGAGGAGCCAGTACACCTGTGCAAGACTGAAGGGGAGGAGCCGGTACACCTGTGCAAGACTGAAGGGGAGGAGTCGGTACACCTGTGCAAGACTGAAGGGGAGGAGCCGGTACACCTGTGCAAGACTGAAGGGGAGGAGCCGCTACACATGTGCAAGACTGGAGGGGAGGAGCTGATACACCTGTGCAAGACTGAAGGGGAGGAGTTGGTACACCTGTGCAAGACTGAAGGGGAGGAGTCATTACACCTGTGCAAGACTGAAGGGGAGGAGCCGGTACACCTGTGCAAGACTGAAGGGGAGGAGTCATTACACCTGTGCAAGACTGAAGGGGAGGAGCCATTAAAACAGTGGAAGACTGAAGGCAATGAATGCATTTTATTTCCCCAGCCTATCCCCAACCATGAGAGAGCCCCCCCAACCAGGAGACAGCCCCCCCAACCAAGAGACAGCCCCCCCAACCAGGAGAGAGCCCCCCCAACCAGGAGACAGCCCCCCCCGCCATGACACCTCCTGCAGTAACTGTGCAATACAATCCCTGTACAGATGATGAGGGGTCTCTGTAAATGAGTGGTGAGGAATGGCGGCGGTGCTGGCGCAGTGGACGGCCCCCTCGCTCTCGGCGGCTGCGATCCATCTCATCGGCTATATTTAGAAGGTTGCATATGTCTCGGGCTCCGGAGCCAATGTTTTAGCAATATTGCCCAGATCTTCAGAGACGTGTCCCCGAGTCTCAGCCGTCCAAACTCTCATCTTGGCGCGGGCTCAGGCGCCTCGACGCAGCTCATAAGCCGAATCCTTGGCTCCGGCTGAGCGGTGACATACAGGAGCGCCGAGCGGCCAGAACACTCAGATGGTATTAAAGGGCCGCACCACATCAAATCCAAGTCTGTGACACTAAAACTGCATGTCAGTGCAATCCCAGGAAAACCGCAATATCGCACGGAGAGGAAAGGAGGACGATCTTCATCCACGTGCAGCAGGGGCACCCTAATTCGATCTCCGGCCCATGAGGGGGAGGGGGGGCCCAGCAGCCTGTGTATAATCATTTGCGTGGATGTTTAAAGCAATACCCATTGCATTTTATACGGCGAGGAGTGGGCGTTCCTAGACAGGCTGTATTTTACAGGGTCTCTGTGCTTCTCTATGCAATACAGGCAGATCATGGCTGCTGGGAGGGGCCAGCAGGGTGCTGTACATAGCTTCCTGAAAACCCCACAGCATCCTGCCACTGTATTCCGCTCAAGAGCCCTCAGTCCTGATGCAAGTAGTGGGAGGAGTTATGCAAATATCAAAAAGCCTTGATGGGTGGAGTCAGGCTAGAGGTGAGGGCGTTCCTAGTCAGGCTGTTTTTGCATGGAAACCGCCTTAGATGACACCCACCTGTGATGCTGAGCGTTTTCTCTCACCCCCCCCCCCCGTGAACATTTAAAGAGTAACTCCATTTTTTTTGTTAAGGAAACGCCCCCCCTCCCCTCTGAGTGATCAATCCACACTGCAGGGATTGTGACAACCTTTGTGGCAGATCCCTACCTCTGGCTGCTGGGAAGAAATAGCCATTTGTCTCATCCCGTCCTGTGCCGCCTGATTCTGAATGGGCGGGTTGGGGTCATTACCATCACCTGGTGCACTCCCAGTGCTTCGATGAGGACAGTTGCAGGGTCTGCACCCCTTTAGAAGTATTAAACCCTTGGGGAGTATCTCACCAAAAACTGAAATTCCAATTAAAGGGGATGCCTAAAATCTGACTTCTAGAAAAACCAGTGAGGCAATCACACAAGCAGAAAATGGCACGTTTCAGGGGCGGTCTTCAGCAGGGAGGCTTGAGTGGGAGGAGACTGTGTTTTCCACATCCCATTGTGACCAAGCCATGGCTACCCTTCCACTGGTGTCACCCAGAGACAGAAATGGGGGATGGGTAAGAAGCGGTGGAATCATATACAACAACATCAATACAATGTAACTACTAAGAGAAAGTAATGAATACAATGTAACTACTAAGAGGAAGTCATGCATACAATGTAACTACTAAGAGGAAGTCATGAATACAATGTAACTACTAAGAGGAAGTCATCAACACAATGTAACTACTAAGAGGAAGGCATGAAAACAATGTAACTACTAAGAGGAAGTCATAAATACAATGTAACTACTAAGAGGAAGTCATCAACACAATGTAACTACTAAGAGGAAGGCATGAAAACAATGTAACTACTAAGAGGAAGTCATACATACACGTACCTACTAAGAGGAAGTCATCAATACAATGTAACTACTAAGAGAAAGTCATAAATACAATGTAACTACTAAGGAGGAAGTCATAAATACAATGTAACTACTAAGAGGAAGTCATCAACACAATGTAACTACTAAGAGGAAGGCATGAAAACAATGTAACTACTAAGAGGAAGTCATACATACACGTACCTACTAAGAGGAAGTCATCAATACAATGTAACTACTAAGAGAAAGTCATAAATACAATGTAACTACTAAGGAGGAAGTCATAAATACAATGTAACTACTAAGAGGAAGTCATCAATACAATGTAACTACTAAAAGGAAGGCAAGAATACAATGTAACTACTAAGAGGAAGGCATGGATACAAGGTAACTACTAATAGGAAGTCATCAATACAATGTAACTACTAAGAGGAAGTAATCAACACAATGTAACTACTAAAAGGAAGTCATGCATACAATGTAACTACTAAGAGGAAGTCATCAATACAATGTAACTACTAAGAGGAAGTTATCAATACAATGTAACTACTAAGAGGAAGTCATCAACACAATGTAACTACTAAGAGGAAGGCATGAAAACAATGTAACTACTAAGAGGAAGTCATCAATACAATGTAACTACTAAGAGGAAGGCATGAATACAATGTAACTACTAAGAGGAAGTCATCAACACAATGTAACTACTAAGAGGAAGGCATGAATACAATGTAACTACTAAGAGGAAGTCATGCATACAATGTAACTACTAAGAGGAAGTCATAAAAACAATATAACTACTAAGAGAAAGTCGTAAATACAATGTAACTACTAAGAGGAAGTCATGCATACAATGTAACTACTAAGAGGACGTCATGCATACAATGTAACTACTAAGAGGAAGTCATGAATACAATGTAACTACTAAGAGGAAGTCATCAACACAATGTAACTACTAAGAGGAAGGCATTAAAAAAACGTAACTACTAAGAGGAAGTCATGCATACAATGTAACTACTAAGAGGAAGTCATCAATACAATGTAACTACTAAGAGGAAGTCATCAACACAATGTAACTACTAAGAGGAAGTCATGAATACAATGTAACTACTAAGAGGAAGTCATGAATACAATGTAACTACTAAGAGGAAGTCATGAATACAATGTAACTACTAAGAGGAAGGCATCAGTACAATGTAACTACTAAGAAGAAGTCATGAATACAATGTAACTACTAAGAGGAAGTCATGAATACAATGTAACTACTAAGAGGAAGGCATCAGTACACTGTAACTATTAAGAAGAAGTCATGAATACAATGTAACTACAAAGAGGAAGTAATCAATACAATGTAACTACTAAGAGGAAGTCATGAATACAATGTTACTTCTAAGAGGAAGGCAAGAATACAATGTAACTACTAAGAGGAAGGCATGGATACAAGGTAACTACTAAGAGGAAGTCATCAATACAATGTATCTACTAAGAGGAAGTCATGAACACAATGTAACTACTAAGAGGAAGTCATCAGTACAATGTAACTACTAAGAGGAAGTCATGAATACAATGTGACTACTAAGAGGAAGTCATGAATACAATGTAACTACTAAGAGGAAGGCAAGAATACAATGTAAGTACTAAGAGGAAGTCATGAATACAATGTAACTACTAAGAGGAAGTCATGAATACAATGTAACTACTAAGAGGAAGTCATGAATACAATGTATCTACTAAGAGGAAGTCATGAATACAATGTATCTACTAAGAGGAAGTCATGAATACAATGTAACTACTAAGAGGAAGTCACGGCAGGAACCTGCAACACTGATACAAATGTATCATTCCCATGTTATACTTTCTAAGTCTCTAGTCCTGTAAATAAAGGATCCGTTCCATAAACTGAAGTGGGTCAGGAAAGCAGAACACACCGCGCCCGCGGCACATCACAGGCTTCCACCGCCTGCACAATCAATGGCGATCGATGGGGCTGCACGTTCCGAGGACGCGGGGCAGACGTTTCGTTGCAGGTTCTGCATTTCGGTGTTGTCTGATGGCAGACCGCGTCCTCCACAAAACAGACTCCGGGTGTGACACAACGAAGGCGTTCTCTGTGCCAGACGAAGGCGGCCATCTGCTCCGAGGCACATGAGAGCGCGCTCCGCGGAAATCGCTGTACACACACACAGCGGGAAGCAGGAAACACAGGCCGCCCTCCCCCACACACAACTCTCAGATGTGAGAGGAAAGAATTCCTGACACCCGGCGCAGAGATGTGCCGCAGTCCGGCGCGCTTTCCAACGCGAGTGTCATGGATGCAGCCGGCACAATGTACATAGAAATCATTCAAAAATATAAATCATATACATCGACTTTATGTACTTCAGGATGTTTGTACATATTATGACCTGATTCTGCCCTCCTAGTCTGCTTCCTACTCTAGGTACTCGTGATCCACGCACCCTACCGGGTCCCAGCGCCACTACTCCTACCCCGCTCCCAGCGCCTCTACTCCTACCCCGCTCTCAGCGCCACTACTCCTACCCCGCTCCCAGGTCCTCTACTCCTACCCCGCTCCCAGAGCCTCTACTCCTACCCCGCTCCCAGAGCCTCTACTCCTACCCCCGCTCCCAGCGCCTCTACTCCTACCCCGCTCCCAGGTCCTCTACTCCTACCCGCTCCCAGCGCCTCTACTCCTACCCCGCTCCCAGCGCTTCTACCCCTACCCCGCTCCCAGCGCCTCTACCCTTACCCCGCTCACAGGGTCTCTACTCCTACCCCACTCCCAGGTCCTCTACTCCTTCCCGCTTCCAGCGCCTCTACTCCTACCCCGCTCCTAGCGCCTCTACTCCTACCCCGCTCCCAGGTGCTCTACTCCTACCTCGCTCCCAGCGCCTCTACTCCTACCCCGCTCCTAGCGCCTCTACTCCTACCCCGCTCCTAGCGCCTCTACTCCTACCCCCGCTCCCAGGTGCTCT